AGATAATACAGGAGGTTTTAATCCATAGGATAAAGAAAGGAGAAGAAATAAAATTAGTCTAACATTTAGAAAGGAAACAAAACTCTCATTATTCACAAATAATATTACTTTCCACATAAAAATTCCCTATAGAATCCATAGATTCTTACTAGAATTAATAAGAGAGCTTACAGATGTTTTTTGGTATGAAGTTAATATACAAAAATTAATGTCTTTTTCTCTGCCCTTGACGAACAGTTTGAAAATGTAAAAATTTATTAAGATGCTATTTATGGTAGCATAAAACAATTTGTTACTTATGAATAAATTCAACATATATATATATACACATATATATATATATACATATATATATATACATATATATGTATATATATACACATATAATCTCTCCAAGGGATAATAATAAAACATTATTGGGAGACATTCAAGAAAACCTATATACATGAGAAACTATATTACATTTATTGATTGAAAAACCAAGTATTGCAAAGTTGCAAATTCTCCATCAAATAAATGATTTATAGGTTCAATGAATTCCAACAAAAGTGCAGCAAGTATTTTGCGAACCAGAGAAATTACTTCTAAAATTGATGTATGGAATTTCAAATTGCCAAGAATAGCCAAAACTACTGAAAAAATAGAAGAATGTGGGACAGCTTGTTCTATCAGGTATGAAGACCTATTCTAAAGCTACAGAAATCAGTTCGGTGTAGCATAGATCCAGAGAAATGTAATTGATACGAGCCCACAAATAGACTCATACAGGAATAAACACTAGACTTACACAAACTGGGCACTTCAGTGACTATAGATTATGAAATATAGAACTCACTTTCCAACAAATGGTGTGAATATAATTGACTGTGCATTTGGTGAAAAATGGACTTAAACCATACAAAAAATTAATCCCAAGGGGATGAATTTCAAAGGAATGATTTAAGAATACAGAAAAAAATTTCCATGACCTTGAACTACCAAAGAATTTTTAAGATGAATTCCACAAAAAGTATAATCAAAATGGAAAAGATTTCTAAATTTACTATTTTTTTTTTTTTTTTTTTTTTTTGAGACGGAGTCTCGCTCTTGTTACCCAGGCTGGAGTGCAATGGCGCGATCTCGGCTCACCGCAACCTCCGCCTCCTGGGTTCAGGCAATTCTCCTGCCTCAGCCTCCTGAGTAGCTGGGATTACAGGCACACACCACCATGCCCAGCTAATTTTTTGTATTTTTAGTAGAGACGGGGTTTCACCATGTTGACCAGGATGGTCTCGATCTCTTGACCTCGTGATCCACCTGCCTCGGCCTCCCAAAGTGCTGGGATTACAGGCTTGAGCCACCGCTCCCGGCCTTAAATTTACTATTTTTAAATTAAGAGTTTCCGTTCACCAATAGAAACACCAATAAAAAAATGAAAATGAAAAGTCAAGCCACAGAAGATATTTGTAAATAGTTCTTCTCAATGTTTTCATTTTCTTACAATTTTAGGATACAAAATAACTTCTAACACAATTTAAAAAGGGGGGAAGGCAGATGGCCTGATAGCATAGAAGGCAAAATATTTGTCAGGCACATCACAAAAGAAGAAGTACAAATGGTAAACAAAAGTCAAAATGGCATTATTAGTCAGGGAAATGAAAATTAAACCATAAGATACTTCCACATGCTCACCATATTGGCAATTTTTAATTTAATTTAATTAATTATTATTATTATTATTTTTTGAGATTGAGTCACTCTGTTATGCAGGCTGGAGTGGAGTGGCAGTGGTGTGATCATGACTCACTGCAGCCTCACCCTCTCCAGGTTCTGGTTATCTTCCCTCCTCGGTCTCTCAAGTAGCTGGGACCACAGGTGCACACCACAATGCCCAGGTAACTTTTGTATTTTTTGTATAGATGGGGTTTCTCCATGTTGCCCAGCTGATTGCCTGAGCTCAAGTGATCAAACCGCCTCAGCCTACCAAAGTTCTGGGATTACAGGTGTGAGCCACTGTACCCAGCCCAGACTGACAAATATTAAGAGTACTGAAAATAAGTGAATTCTCATAACCTGCTGGTTTCACTGCAGATATAGCCACATTGGAAAACAAGGCAACACTATCTTAGAAACTGGAGACATACAGGCCCTATGACCAGGAAATTTCACTTCTATAAAAACTTATTTGTACTAGATGTTTATAGAAATACTATTCATAATTGCCCCAAATTGGTAATGGAATTTACATTATTAAAAATGAGTGAACCTAGATATATATAGGTAATTCTATCATACTGTTCATTGTAAAGGTAAATAACAAAAGAATATTTAGATAATGATTCAATTAATATAGGACTCAAAAACAGGTTAAACCGTATCAATACAGGATATATTCATAGGAGCTGAAACTACAGAAATGCAAGAAAATGATTACTATAAAAATTAGTCATCCTGTCTCAATGGGACAAAGAGAAGGTATTGTGATTGGAAAGGGATACATAAAGGCTTCTGGGGTTCTATTTCATGACTTGAATGGTGGTTATACAGGTTTACGTTTGTTTGTTTGTTTGTTTGTTTTTGAGATGGAGAATGGCTCTGTTACCCAGGCTGGAGTGCAATGATGCGATCTCAGCTCTCTGCAACATCCACTTCTCAGGTTTCAGTGATTCTCCTGCCTCAGCCTCCTGAGTGGCTGGGATTACTGGCATGTGCCACCACACCTGACTAAATTTTGTATTGTTAGTAGGGACAGGTTTCGCCATGTTGGCCAGGCTGGTCTTGAACTCCTGACCTCAAGTGATCCGCCTGCCTCGGCCTCCCAAAGTGTTGGGATTACAGGCATGAGCCGTCGATCCAGCCTGTACAGGTTTATGTTTTAAAATCTTGTATTAAATTTTGTAAAGGAACTTCTGCCCATTTTTCCCAGTTGTAGCATATTTTATGATCAAGAAAATACTGATTAACAAAAAGAACCCAGGTAAAAAAATTTTTAAATAGAGGAAGTGTTTAACAGAAAATGTGACACTCCCAATATGAGAAGAGAAGAGAAAGCACTTGGCCCTTCTTACCCTGATGTTCTTTATTCCAACCTGCAGTCTTACTGGGACTCTCTGCTCTCCCTGACTGGGAGATCTGCTGAATGTCTGCTTTACCACTGAGGGAAATAAGAGACTTTAGTTCTTCCCCCATTGGTGGTGAGGAGTAACAGAGCATCCAAGATGACTAGGAACTTTCATATGAAAGTGTGCTTGGTGAAGAGGATGAGAAAATACACAGACGGCAGGGTGCTCCAGAGTACTGAGGAAGCAAAATTGCCAAGAGCACTCTTTAAGTGACCTTAGGCAATCCTTAAAAGAAAGTAAGCCATGCCAGTTAGGATGGCGATCATTAAAAAATCTGCAGACAACAGATGCTGAAGAGGATGTGCAGAAATAGGCACACTTTTACGCTGTTGGTGGGAGTGTAAATTAGTTCAACCATTGTGGAAGACAGTGTGGGGATTCCTCAAAGACCTAGAAATAGAAATTCCATTTGACCTAGCAATCCCATTACTGGGTATATATCCAAAGGATTATAAATCATTCTATTATAAAGACACATGAACATGTATATTCATAGCGGCACTGTTTACAATAGCAAAGACCTGGAACCAACCCAAATGCCCATCAGTGATAGACTGGACAAGGAAAATGTGGTACATATACACCATGGAATACTATGCAGCCATAAAAAACGATGAGTTCATGTCCTTTGTAGGAACATGGATGAATCTGGAAACTATCATTCTCAGCAAACTGACACAAGAACAGAAAATCAAACACTGCATGTTCTCACTCATAGGTGGGTGTTGAACAATGAGAATACATGGACACAGGGAGGGGAGCATCACACACTGGGGTCTGTGCGGGGGGACTAGGGGAGGGATAGTAGAGGGTAGGGAGGTTGGGGGGGGATAACATGGGGAGAAATGCCAGATATAGGTGATAGGGGGATGGAGGCAGCAAACCACATTGCCATGTAGGTACCTATGCAACAATCCTGCACGTTCTGCAGTTATTTGCTTTCTCATATATATATATATATACATATATATATATATACATATATATATATGTATATATATATATATATATATATATGAAAGCGAGTAAGTGAAATATCGTCTGCAAGGCTACAGGGAGTGTTCTAAAAGAATGATCATTACACATTACTTGGTGACTCAGTGCAGTCGTTCTGAGTTCAGTCGAGTACATTCTTCATGTTCTGGAATAGGGTTGCTGAGGTCATGGGCACGATAAATTCACAAAAGGTAACTTGGACTTTTTGTGCTAAAAGCTTCTCTGGCAGGAAAATGATTCACCAAAAGTCAAAATAAATGCACAGAGCACTATTTAGCATTCAGAGCTTAAAGCAGACATAGAAATCATATTCTTTAGCCATTTACAAATGGCTTCAAAGAGCCTGAGGAGTTCAATAAAGCTACTCCGGAGTGTGCTGGCAAAGTGTGTGCTCTGTCTCCCATAGGGTAGCTTCCACTCCCAGCTTTACAAAATGACCTTCCAGATCACCACAAAAGAAAGGGCCAATGGCTTTAGAAAAGATTCAGAAACGAGCGATCCTATCTAACTCCTTCATTCTGCACATAAAGAAACAGGTTGAGAGAGGGGAGGTGGCATTCTCAAAGCGGCTCACAGGGCTCTCAGCAAAACGGGAGAAACCGAGATTGTCTGCTTCGGACTTGGATTCGTTCCAATGTACTCGATTGCTAGTTAACACTACATGCGAACAAATCTAAACCAGTGAATATAAAATAAGGGAGACAAAAACAGGTCTCTCATCACCAGCACCTACATCATAAGGTTTTTGTAAAGATTAAATGAGTCTATAATGGTGCTTGTTTACAACAGCTCCTGGCACGTACGTAAGAACTGGGCATTTACTATGATAAAATGCCACTTTTCTGGTCCTTTCATCCTCCTTACCCACTTTGTTCACACACTGTTTCATCTACCTACTGCCAGCTTGAAATTTTAAAAGGGTCACAAATCCATACAAGGAATGAAATCAACAATCTGTGTTCTCCAGGCTGAGGACAACAGCTGCCGAGAACAACTGATCTGCACCGTGACAAGGACTGAATGTAAGAACCATTTTACACATGATCCTTCTCCTCCCCTTGGCTCTGGCCACAGAGAGTTTTATCACCAGTAACCATGTGCTCATGGGAGGTTTAGCCTCTGACAGCAGTTACGGTGTTTTATGTTAATACTTTTAATGAAAATAGAACATATTTGCAGAAGTATGTCTTAAGAGCAGACAGCACAGAAAGTCAAGACTCCCAGATGTGCTGACTTCAACTCCAGTTTCACATGCCAATGTGGCATCCTATCCGTGCTGGTAGCACAGCGGGTGTCCTGCAGATACTCCTCCTTTGTCCAACTGTCTCCAAACAGGAGGCCTCACTCACTATGGGGACTGCTTCCTTCTCTTTTCCTTGCTTTACAGTGACTGCAGGAAAATAGATTTCCCATCGCTAGAGGCAGATCCTCCGTCCCTTTGGAATCCTCTAGCAACCTATGAATGAATAAGCCAGATGCATGCATGTGTGCAAAAGCAAGGTTTCTTTCTTTCTTTCTTTCCTTTCTCTCTTTTTCTCTCTTTCTGTCTTTCTTTCTTTTTCTTTCTTTCTAAGATGGAGACTCAGTCTGTTGCCCAGGCTGCAGTGCAGTTGCAGAAACTTGGCTCTCTGCAACCTCTGCCTCCCAGGTTCAAGCAATTCTCCTGCCTCAGCCTCCCGAGTTGTTGGGATTACGGGCACGCACCATCATGCCCAGCTAATTTTTGTATTTTTGGTAGAGACGGGGTTTCATCATGTTGGCCAGGCTGGTCTTGAACTCCTGACCTCGTTATCTGCCCCCCTCGGCCTCCTCAAGTGCTGGGAATACATGCATGAGCCGCCACGCCTAGCCTATTTTTTGTTTGTTTAATCATTCTTACCTATGTGAAATAAAACAGACACTAAAGGATTTAGGACACAGGCATAAATGCAGAGTATCTGGATGGGTGACAATCTAAAGTCCAGAGTGGCTGTTTTCAGCAGGTATTGACTCTCAGTTTTATATCAGCCAGAGCCCTTCCTCTGACACCATCTAACACTTGATAATTTTCTGGTCTTCTTGAGAGTAAAAAGAGAGTAATCTTGTCAGTTATCGTTCCTGTCTCTGGTGTCTGTGATGTTTTCTGTTTGCCACACACACTTTGAAGTACCATATTGAGCATTCAATCTTAAATATACAAAGAAACAATGTGTAATCATGTTCGGACCTGGTGTGGTGGCTCATGCCTGTAATCCCAGAACTTTGGGAGGCTGAGGCTGGTGGGTCACTTGAGGTCAGGAGGTGGAGTCCTGCCTGGCCAACATGATGAAGCCCTATCTCTACTAAAAATACAAAAATCAGCCAGGTGTGGTGGCGTGTGCCTGTAATCCCAGCTACTCAAGAGGCTGAGGCAGGAGAATCGCTTGAACCCAGGAGATGAAGGTTACAGTGAGCGGAGATCACACCACTGCACTCCAGCCTGGGAGACACAGTGAGACTCTGTCTCATTAAAAAAATAAATAAATAAAAATAAATTGTTTGAAGATTGGCTCAGAAAGTTTAAAATATTAAGACTTAAAATGTATTCAATTAAAAATGGAGACTCAAGTTGAACAAGCAGTGTTCTTTACTTAAAGGAAAGGGATCTTCGAGTTAATAAGACATAAAAAAGATACTTTAATACATTAGCAGCTATTAACTGATTCTAGTTAAAAAGAAATACATAGGACTGGCATGCTTACTCATGCCTGTAATCTCAGCATTTTGGGAGGTGGAGGCGGGAGGATCACTTAAGCCCAGGAGTTCGAGATCACCCTGGGCAAGCAACCTGGCTAGACCCCATCTCCACAAAAAATACAAAAATTGGCCAGGCATGGTGGTACACACCCGTGCCACTGCACTGCAGCCTGGGCGACACGCCAAAACTCTGTCTCAAAAAATAAAAAACAAAAAAGGCTACTCAGGAGGCTGAGGCAGGAGGATCCATTGAGCCCAGGAGCTTGAGGCTAGAGTGAGCTATGATCACAACACTGCACTCCAGCCTGTGTAACAGGGCAAGACCTTGTCTCAAAAAGAGAAATATACAAAATATTTTCATTTGGCAGAACATGCAGGGGTGGTATTCTAATGCCAATTTTATGAGGTTAAAAGAAATCGGGAAAAGGGACAGTACACCTGATTAAGAAGAAGTAATGAAAGGCATTACTTATAGATTCAACTTTGGACACTATTGATTTTCTGTCTTCACTTGTTCTTTGAGAATTAACTCCCAGAATCAATATCCATTAAAGCTTATTCAGTGCATATGCCTCCACAACATTCAGCTAGGGACAATTAGAACAGGTACTGCCCTGCATTGAAAATGGTAACAAATTCTATTCACTTAAGTTTGAATCCCCTCACTTTCTCCCTTCCTCTTTTCTTTTTTCCTTTTTTTCTTCCTTCTATGAATATTCATTAAGAACCTGCCATGTGCTGGCATTTTTCTAAATTCTGAAGATGAAATGAAGCCATCTTCATATAGCATACAAGCTAGTAATGATATTGGCTTGATGAGATGGTCAGTATTGAGTTTGTTTAGGCTGTCATGAAGAGGAGGAAAAGCTGTACAGAAGACATTAAGATATTCCATGTCTTGCTGGGGTTGGTACAAAGATCCTGAAAGACAGACTGCAACCCAATACAGACATTAGCTCTGGACAAAGGACACTGCTTGTTTCATAATATAAAGAAACAAAATCTCACAAATGGTAAGAAGGCATGATGTCGGAAACAATGTCAGAAGACTAGGGCTCACATTTTTACATTTTCTCTAAGATCAGTAACTTTGAGCAAACACCGCTGCAGTTTAAAGCCTTTTTTCCTTCTCTACAAAGGAAGAATAACATAATACCTTATGCAGAGAACAGTTACAGGGATTATGGCATGTGTCAAAAGTTTGTGAATTACAACAAAAATATAATGTATTATCATTATATTAAAGTGTGAGGTAGGTCACGTTCAGGTCAAAGCCTAGGATAAGAAAACATCAAAAGAGACTGGCTATCCACTTGTATTAAGTACAATTACAAAACTTTGAGAAACATGAGATTTACCTTATATTGAAGAAGATGTTTATTTTTTTCCCATTTCTCATTGTCTCCTGTCTTCAATATTAACCACATAATATATGCTGAAAAAACAACTCACAGGTATACCTCAATTTTTAAAAATGTAGTCTATAATATATGTACATTTATAAAATGAATAGACTGTTTATTTCCAAAGGACAAAATTCAGTGATTTACTAAAAGCTCTTTTATACACAATTTATAAAGCACAACTGTGCACACATCCTGGTATACTTTTTGAGTGGTAGTTTACCAAGTTTTAAACATAGCTTTTAAAGAACATAGGATTTAGCTATTTTGAAAAATAGTTCATACTGAACAGGCAAAAACTGGAAGCATTCCCCTTAAGGGCTGGAACAAGACAATGATGCCCGTTCTCATCACTCCCATTCCTATAATACTGAAAGTCCTTGCCAGAGCAATCAGGCAAGAGAAAGAAAAAGGCATCCAAGTAGAAGTCATTGAACTATCTCTCTGCTCATGATGTGATTCTTTACTTAGAAAATCCTAAAAACTCTACCAAAAGTCTCCTGGAACTGATAAAACAGCTTCAGTAAAGTTTCAGCATACAAAATTAATGTACAAAAATCAGTAGCATTTCTATACACCAGTAACAGTCAAGATGAGAGCCCAGTCAAGAACACAATCCCATTTACAACAGCTGCAACAACAACAAAATACCTAGGAATATATCTAACCAAGGAGGTGAAAGACCTCTACGAGGAGAACTACAAAATACTGCTGAAAATCATCATAGATGATCCAAACAGAAAAACCCCATGCTCACGGATTGGAAAAATCAATACTATTAAAATGACCATACTGCCCAAAGAAGTTTACAGATTCAGTGTTATTTCTACCAATCTAGCAATATCATTTTTCACAGAACTAGAAAAACTTACTATAAAAGTCATATGGAACTATGGAATCAAAAAAGATCCTGAATAGCCACAGCAATCCTAAACAAAAAGAAAAAAGCAGAAGCATCATGTTACCAGACTTCAAACTATACTCTAAGGCTACAGTAACCAAAACAGCATGATACTGGTGCAAAAACAAATACATAGACCAACGAAACAGAATAGAGTGCAGAAATAATTCTGCAGACCTATGGCCCTCTGATCTTCAACAAAGTTGACAAAAATAAGCAAGGACTCCCTATTCAATAAATGGTTATGGGATAGCTGCCTAGCTATATGCAGAAAAATGAAACTGGACCCCTTCTTTATACCACATACAAAAATTAATTCAAAATAGATTGAAGATTTAAATGTAGATCCTCAAACTATAAGAATCTTAGACTAAAACCTAGGAAACACCATTCTGGACATCAGCCTTTTGAAAGAATTTATGACTGAGCCCTCAAAAGCACTTGCAAAAAAAAAAAAATGAAAAATGGAACCTAATTAAAGTTTTGCACAGCAAAAGAAACTATCAACAGAGCAAACAGGTGACCTACATAATGGAAGAAGATATTCACAAACTTTGCATCTAACAAAAAGGGCTAATGTCCAGAATCTATAAGGAACTTAATTAAACAAACAACCCCATTAGAAAACAGGCAAAAGAAAGGAAGAGATACTTCTCAAAAGAAGACATACAAGTGACCACCAAACTTGTATGCCACTAATCATCAGAGAAATGCAAATCAAAACCACAGTGAGGGTTGGGTGAGTAATCCCAGAACTTTGGGAGGCCGAGGCAAGTGGATCACAAGGTCAGGAGTTCCAGACCAGCCTGACTAACATGGTGAAACCCCCATCTCTACCAAAAATACAAAAATTAGCCAGCCATAGTGGTGCATGCCTATAATCCCAGCTACTCAGGAGGCTGAGGCAGGAGAATTGCTTGAATCTGGGAGGGGAAGGTTTCAGTGAGTCAAGATCATGCCACTGTACTCCAGCCTGGGCAACAGAATGAGACTCTATCTCAAAAAAAAGAAAAAGCCAAATAAACAACAGATGCTGGGGAAGCTGTGGAGAAAAGGGAATGCTCATACAATGTTGATGGGAACGTAAATTAATCCAGCTTCTGTGGAAAGCAGTTTGGAGATTTCTCAAAGAATTATGAATTGAACTGCCATTTGACCTAGCAATCCCATTACTGGGCATATACCCAAAAGAAATTGTTCTACCAAAAAGTCACATGCACTTGTATATTAATCACAGCACTATTCACAAGAGGAAATATGTGGATTCAACCTAGATGCCCATCAACAGTAGACTGGATAAAGAGTATATGGTATATATACACCATGGAATACTACACAGCCATAAAGAAGAACAAAATCATGTCCTTTGCAGCAACATGGATGCAGCTGCAAGCCATTATCCTAAGCAATGTAATGCAGGAACAGAAAAGTAAATACTGCATGTTGTCACTTATTGGTGGGAGCGAAACAATGGGTACTCATGGACATAAAGATGGCAGCAGACACTGGGGACTACTAGAGAGGGAGGCAGAGATGGGGGTAAGGGTTGAAAAACTAAGTACTGGGTACTATGCTCAGTAACTGGGTGATGAGATCAATTGTAGCCCAAACCTCAGCATCAAACAACATACCCAGGTAACAAACCTGTATCCCCTGAATCTAAAATAAAGGTCGAAATTATTTTTAAAAAGAAAGAAAAATAGCAATTCTGTTAGAATACTAATATTCTGGTATTATCACACAGAACAGGATTTCTATAATCGCAGAGAACAAATGGTCAGTTTTGTATTACCAGCATTACTCCTTAAGAGTCTATCAGAGACTAGCAAGACTGAGCTATGTCCTAAACATTTTGGGGACTGTCATATATGGCTGTGTTAGTCAAAAATGCTACTCTCAAGTTTGTAGTTCACCATAAAATATTCCATTTTGAGAAAGTTCTTTGTCCTTCATCATACTCCTGCCAAGCTTTGTGAAGTAAAACCTCATTTCTGACTTGAGGTTGAGAGTCACACCTGCCCGTACATAACGTAGGAGAAAGCTAGCATCTCAGATCTTGCAACTGAGAGCATTAATTTTCCCATTGCTTTGTTATAATTTTGTTTCCTATTGCTAACATTTATGGTATAATGGTCTCATAGTGAAGAGAGAATACAAAAATCATTATTTGTGTTTTATTGTGTTCTCACTGGGGGCTTAGTTACCTTCAGACAGGCTTTGCAGTGGCCTGGTAAAGGAGTAAGTATTCCTGGAAGGCTCAGTTCTTGGATGACTTTTGTAAACCTGTGCATAAGGCTCCAGATAATCAAAAATATGAATTCAAGTTTGAGGTCTTTTAATGATTCTATGAGATAAGTCTACATCTTTATTTCCAAATATAGTCTGCTTATTTTTAAATGGTTTGTTTTTCTTTTTTCTCATAAGGGAAAAAAACCTTCTGTAAGATATGTCTAATGAAAAGCTATCTTTTGCCAGCCATGGTGGCTCATGCCTGTAATCCTAGCACTTAGGGAGACTGAAGCAGGTGGACTGCTTGACCTTGGGAGTTTGAGACCAGCCTGGGCAACATGGTGAAACCCCGTCTCTACAAAAACCACAAAAATTAGCTGGGCCTGGTGACTTGCACCTGTAGTCCCAGCTACATAGGAGGCTGAGGCAGGAGGATTGCTTGAGCCCAAGAGGCAGAAGTTGCAGTGAGCCAAAATCACACCACTGCACTCCAAGAAAAAAAGAAAAGAAAAACTATGTTTTGGTCACTTCCTGAAGAGACTAGCTGGCAGAAAGGAGCAGAGAAAGTAAAGGAAGAAAGCCAAATCCCTGAACTACCTGACTCTGTATTTTTGTTGTCAATATATTTTGTCTTTCCCTTTCAGCTGCCGGGGATTAGGAGAAAAGAACATAAAAGGACAAGAGGCTTTTAAGAAGGATGATTTGGCAGACAACATGACTATCTGGTACTTTGTTCTGTGCTGGAGGTTAAGCAGCTTTGACACTTTCTGTGGCACTGACTCTAAGGGAGAACCAAGAATTTGCTACTGCTACATGCTGTTACGTAACGCATCACAGAGTTCTTTCTGAGCAACCCAGGGTTACCCACAGGACAGCCATGACCAGGTATTCCACCAAACGAGCCCAGGAACATATTTCTGTCCAAACAACTTCTGTCAAGAAAAGATTCTTGGATGGAATAAGATTGTAGAAGAAACTTCTGCAAGTGATTTTAGAACTGCCAGCTCTGAACTAGCTTTCCCAGCCTTAACATTCTGCCTAGGTCCTGCTCACACGAGCCAAACTCTGCATTGCTTTGCTCCAATCCTACAGAACAGCTCAGAATGTCTTGCTTTCCTTTGCATCAGAGGGAGTATCTGCACAAAGCATACCTTGAGTCTTAAAGGCATAAAATAAATGGCTTATTTTTGGCAACCTTTGTATTTTGTATCTGTTTAAATAGTTATGATTCTCCAATATCTTTCCTTTTGTATAGAAAGGGCCAGTTGACAAGGCCTATGAATGGCACAGAGACCTCACACACAGGAGGCTTTGATTTTTCCACTCACCCTGTGTTTATTCAATGAGAAAGACCATGGGATGGAAGAGGAATCTGGGTTGGAATCTGCTTCTTCCAGTTACTACGTGAAAAAACTGACCTCTTACTAAGCTCTTTAGAGCTTCCACTGGTTGTTATATTGACATGTAAAGCTGACCTCTGAAACAATCTACCTAAAGAGCTTACATGATTGTGGGGTAGAACACCTGCTTAGTAGACAGGTCTTGGCATTATATTATGTGCTTGTAACAATCGTTTGGCAAACACAGTTAATTTATTAGAATGTTGTATTACTATCTTTTCTTATTGATGCTGTTCTGTGTTACTAAATTATGGGTGATTCTATCCTGTTTTTGGATTTTTTTTAAAGTATGCTAACATCTATAGAGTACTGACTTTAATCCCAGACACTTCAGTAAGTGATTAAGACAATAAATTATAACTCTTATAAGATTTCCACTAATCCTCTCAAGTAGTATCAATACCTCCATTAAACTGAGATCTACAGATGTTGAGCAACTTTCCTCAGATCACACAGCTAGAAAGTGCTACAACCACAATAGAACAATCTATATCTGGGTCAAACATCGTGCTGTATGCAATGGGTTTTTAACCACCATTTTCTCTCTTTTTTTCTAAGGTCTTTTATTCATTCTACAGCCACTTAGTGACTTTCTTCAATATCCAAGGTAGCGTTTTTCCTGTATGCCATTGAGTTATTTCAAGGACCACGTGACTTTTGTCTAGTAAGTTGTAATTTTTTTCTCCATAATAAAAGCAGTTTTAACCGATCTACTTTCTTTGTAATCCCGTTAAAAGTCAGTCTTTAGTCAAGTATTTGGCAAGAATCACGTTTGTCTCATGAGCTTTAGGTAAATTATAAACTACATACTTTTATTTCTTCTACATAAAAACATTTTCTTTCAAAAGTAATAAAATATTCATTATGATGCTATGGAACCAGGTTTGTGGTTGTTTTGTATGTCCTTTCTAAAATGGAGCTTTAAACTTACAAAATCTCAATCACTGAATTCAATTAGTTTCATAAATATTCTTTTTCAAAAAACTATTATAAGTTTCAGTAAACTACAAATACTAAGCTTACTTAAACAGATTTCTTTTCACATTCTTAGAATGTCACACCAATTAGATATGCAAATACTGTTTTGGGACTCAATGTTCAGTAAAGATTTCTTTTTTCTCCAACCAGAGCCAGTCCTGTTTTGTTGGTTTATTTGAGTAATGGTTAAGTAGCCAGAAAACTTAGTTCCTTTCCTAAATGACTTGAATATTTTCATCATAAATTATGGGGGGTGGGAGAGAGAGGAGAGAGATGCTCACATTTTCACTTAGCTCCTTTTCTTTTAGTTCTTGGAGTTATCATGAAGTACATATTCTTTCCCAGATGCAACAGATCTGTAACCTGTGTATTTGAGCTCTAAAGAACTAGCACATTTTCCTTTTCCAAATTCATGATTTGGGATCACAGGTCAAGATGGAAGTAAGACACAAAACTTCCAAATTCAAGAATTTATAGCTGCATCATTTCATTTTTTTTTTTTTTTTTGGTACATCATTTCATTCTAAAAATGAACTATTACTTTTGCTTGATGGATAATAGAAACATCATTTCTCTAGTGAATGACGTGGAATTTGGAAAAGAATTAGGTGCACATAAATCTCCTTAGTGGTTAATCAAAGATGTGTTTGGTTGTTACTGAGGAGTCAAGTCACTACCAGAGTCACCATTGCTTCAATGGTCATTATTTGACTGCTCTTGTAGTGCATTGAGACCGCTTTAGAAGAAGGATGGCTTCCTTTCTCACTTTGGCAGCCTTACCTGATTGAATTCACTAACAAGGGACTTTATGATGTTACCATGGTGAAGAGCAGATTTCCAGTGGATGAGCCTTAACTTAAATTTTATCATTGTCAGCTTTCATTTAAATCACGCTGCACACTGGACAGTTGAGGTAAGCCAGTGCTTCTATTTAAAAACATGAATGGCATTTTGGTGTTAAATTTCAGTCTGTTTGTACTCTACCCGTAGTTTAAGACTATAAGCCTTCTGGAAAGAGTATATGTATTTCTAAAGGTTTCTATTTTACTCAGTGGGTAGTGGTGGCATGGAAATTTTAGCTGCCTTGATAGAGAGAGGATGACTTCCTGCCATTTCACATAGTTATGCACATGCCTGACAGGCCCCAGATGTTTGCTGCTCATCTAATCCCTAGGAAAGAATTTTGAAATGATATTCAGTTATGACTCATATTATCAGATGGTTAGGTTCTGTAAAGATATGTGCAACAAATAGTATTTTCCATAAACTGGGACAGTCTAGTTTTAAATATTATTTTATCCCTTTCTTTGAAGAAAAAAAATTATTATTATTTTAAAGCCCAACTTATGAAGATTTATGAAAGTAGAGTTGTTCTGTTCAAAAAGGGGAAGGGAACCCATGGGAACCTTGCCTCCTCACACCATTCTAGCTTCTCAGCCCAAAGGCCTTCTAGAAAAATCTTAAATCTGCCTTAAATATAGGATAGTAATCTGTCTTAAATCTATAAGACAGATTTTTTAAATCCTCTTCCATGGTAACCAATGAGGAATTGTAGAATGAGGATGGAGAAAATAATCATCTAATATATGTTCACCCTTAACCTAAATTTCACAGAGTGGACTTGTTTAAACACAGACCACCTGAAAGAATCCTTCAGTATTAATTTAACAATTTATGATATGCCTTAAGCCTCTCCCTCCCTGCCATGATATTTGGACACTTCCAGTCTAAAAAGCCAATGGTCTGCTTTGTATCATTGCTGAGGGAGCTGGAAAGAATAAATGACTTGTTCCCTATGCCACTGGTAATGAAGAAATGCTAAAAGTTATACATCATTCATAAGCAAATGCTTTCTTTTTCTTTCTTTTAAAAAATTATTTGAGGGTGGCTTTGGAGGAAGAGGTGTTCCAAATACTTCACCTGCTTTTAACGGCATGGTTTATCTGTCACTGGGGATAATTGTTCTTCTCTTCTCTGTGGTTTAAAAAATGGGCTTAATTGCTAAAATTATTGTACAGATCTGCAGAATTGCCATGAAGCCACTCTGAGGATGTGCAGTGCTGAGTCAGTGTTGGGGAGGTTTTCCATCTTCTCCGAGATGTACTTCATGAAACACACATAATGACATATTAAATCATTATACCAAGGATTTTGTAAAATACTTATGGTGGTAATTATTCCCATCATTAACTAGAGACTCTTTTTCACATGCTGAATCCTGTAAAGGCATTTGAAAGTTCTTAAGAGAACTTTTGACTTTAAGATGTATGATTCTGGATGTGTCTTTATTTTTCCCATTGGCATCAACCACTCAACTATGTTTCCTCATCCCTACCATTTATACTTCCACCTTTGCTCCAGATGAAACAGGCTTGTTTGGTTCCAAATTCTAAACTTTGCCTCTTTTTTTTTTTCTTTATATTTAGCTTGGTTTCATCTCCACATCTACATAACCAAATACGTTCCGTCTTTGAATTTCTGCCTTAAGTTCTGCTTTATTTATGAAGTGCCTTGCAGTGTCAGCTGACCTCAATCTCTTCCCTTTCTGACTTAGAAGAGAACATCAATTGCAAAACTTGACTGTTTTTTTTTTTTTTTTTTTAAGCACCATCTGATTTTCTACCTGCTTGCTGTTTAGGTTGTCTAACTTCTGCAATGTTTGGCTTTGCTGATCCCACTCTTCTGCTTTTACTCATATATCACACATAGTAAACATATACATATATATAATAGAGAAATTACATACATCATATGCTATGCATTTTTATTTTATTTTATTTTATTTTATTTTGAGACAGAGTTTTGCTCTGTTGCCAGGCAGGAGTGCAGTGGCACAATCTTAGCTCACTGCAACCTCTGCCTCCTGGGTTCAAGCGATTGTCCTGTCTTAGCCTCCTGAGTAGCTGGGATTACAAGCGTGCACCACCACCCCCAGCTAATTTTTTGTATTTTTAGCAGAGAAATGGTTTCACCATGTTGGCCAGGATGGTCTCGATCTCTTGACCTTGTGATCCCCCACCTCAGCCTCCTAAAGTGCTGAGATTACAGGCATGAGCTACTGCACCTGGTCCTATAGTATGCATTTAATATTTATTATATATTAGTTATGTATTACCTATTAAGCTTATTACACACTATATACAGTATACATACGTTTGTATATGCGCATGTAGTACACAACATTGTGCCAGGAAGAGAGTAGATGGATATCCCAGTATTTATTCAACTGAGTTACATTCAAATCTATAGCAGTTATGGCAATGAATAAGAAAAATAGCTTATTTTAATAATTCACCATCTTCTAAAAGAGATAGTAAATTGAGAAGCAGAAAGTTACAACCTAGTTTTCGTTCTTTTACTATATTTACTATGTAAAAAACAAAAGTTTAAGTTGACAATATCAATGTACCCTATCACAGTACACAAAATCAATTTTGAAACTTTTTCATCAAAATACTTTTCATTTTTCAAATAGCATACTTGCGTCCTTCCTAAAAATAAATCCTTTTAACAACAAAAATTTTAGCCCAAGATAAGCCTCTAGGTAAGAGATATATGAGTCAGAATTAACAAGTTGGGAAGTGAAAAAGTTGGTAGGAAGTGAAGGTGGGGAACTGGGAAGTTTCTGAGCATTGTGAATAAGGATCCATGCTTAGTTGTGTGACAGAATGTGTATATTGTTAGTACAGCTTCTGTGTAACTGGCAAATCCTAGGCAGAACTATTCTTAACTCTATATACATTTCTCTGTATAGCCCCTTCCCATAGCACCTTCTTTAATCTTGTAAAATAGCATTTTTCATGTTTTAAAATTACTGGTTTATCTATCTTTCTTCCACTCAACTATGTATACTGTTGGGAAAAACAGTGAATAGTTTCTATATTTTATTCTTAGTGCCTAGGACAATGCCTTTGACCTGATAGATACATGTTGGGCAAGTACATTATATTGTAAGTAATAAATGAGCAAGTAATTGAATGATTAAAGAAAGGAAGAGATGAACAAAAGATATAAGAATATTACTAGGAAAACTGATCCCTCCTAAACTATCACCAGCTACATCAAGTTTTTTAACTTCAATAATTTATGCAGTTCCTCAAATATAAAGTTATAAAATACTATGGTTTGGATATTTGTCCCCTCCAAACCTCATGTGGAAATTCGATCCTCAATGTTGGAGGTATATAGTCTAATGAAAGATGTTTGGTTCATGGGTGGGATCCCTCATGGGTAGATTAACGCTTGCCCTCCTCCCCTTGGTGTTGAGTGAGTTCTCACTAGTTTCTGAGAGTTCTCATTGTTGAAAAGCACACACACCTGCCCCCACCCTCTCTTGAGTCCTCTCTCACCATGTGATCTCTGCGGCTCCCCTTCCCTTTAGTCATGAGTGGAAATAACCTGAGGCTCTCAGCATCCACTAGAATCATGAGCTAAATAAACTTGTCTTCTTTCCCAGCCTCAGCTATTCCTTTATAGCAACACAAAATAAATAAGAAACACAGGGAGAGGAAATGTATTAATACGTTAAAACTTGACAGTATTTTCTAAACTTGGAACTTTGTTCCCGGATTTCATAGGATTATAATGGTTTCTTTCACAAAAGTGTTAGGCATTTCTGAAAAAGTAGAACTTGGACAAAATTAAAACGTCTTTGAAAAAAAAACAGTAGCACTTTTGAGTATAATGTCATGTCTTTTGTCAGACAAGAGCAGTTCTATCAATTCCAGTTTT